TATTCACCAATTTATCAACTTCAACTGAATTGTCTTTTTATTGTTACATATCATTTCTAAATTATATTTACAACATCTTTAAGAAAAAAAAGATTGAGTTTCTTTAATGTTTGTATTTTCCATGGGGCCTATCACTGTACATATAGTAAATGTTCAATAAATACTTACCTATTTATTAAATGAAAACAAATAAACAAGACCACAATAAAACCCAAAACCCTTTTGGATTGAACATTCCTTTTTACCACCTGTGCTACCCATGACAATGGACAACCAAGAATCAGCAAAACCTAGATTGAATGCTCCCCTCCAGCTTCTGCCCTGTCCTCTCCTTCACAGCTCAATTTCCAGGGAACCTACCCTGTGTTGTCTCCCTCTTTCCTCATCTACCTCTCACCCATCAACCCACTGCAAACTGCCTTCATCCTTCTGTTGAAATGACTCTTGCCCACTTCACCAGACTCCTCCTTATAAGGAAAGGCAGTGGGCAGTTGGTGGCTCTCATTTCACCTAGTGGTAACATCTGACAATTCACCACAGAAATATTCTCATTTCCTAAAGAAATATTCTCATAACCCTTCTGGACCTGGTTCCTGAATCTTCTCTGACAACTCTGGCTGTTTCTTCTTACTCTACCTGTCCCTGAAACATGGAGGCACCTCAGAGTTCTTCCATTTATGTCCTGAGCACTAGGCTCATATTTCCAAGTGCCTATTTCCCCCTCTTGCTTGAATATCTAATAAGCTCTTCAAACTCAATATCTTGCACATCTGAATATGCCACGCAGGCCAGGGTGACTTAGAGAACAGCCCTGCATGGACTTAGCTGCCAAGCCAGAAGCCTGGCATTCACCCTTGACTCCTCGCTCAACCTGTGCACCACTCAGTCAACACTTCCCGCTACCCAGCACTCCATCTCCTCTGTTCTACACCCAGTCAGCCCACCATCCACCATCTCCCATTCTTATCTCTACAATAGCCACCGACTGGCAGTCTCTAACCCACATGCCACTCTGCATTTAAAAATGCTCTAACAAGAAACTTCAATGTTGCCCTCCTGCTGAAAACCCTTAAGAGATGTCCCATGTCTTCTAACCAAAAGTTAAACAGCTCGCTATGGCTCAGAAGGCCTTTCATGACAAGGACATCCTGACCACACCTTCCCAGCACTTGTTCCTGTTCTTTGAACAAGCCAAATATGCTTGCTTCCCCCCGCCACCCTCCCACTCCACCACTCCACCCCTTCTCTCAGTTTCCAATGTGCTGTGACTCTTCCTGGAACATTCTTTCCTTTCTTCTTCATCTGGCTAACTCTCATGATCCTCTAGATGTAGAATTAATGAATATCAGTAACTTCTCCTTCCACAATGATTATTTTCCTCAAGTGTTATTGCTTGTTTCACAGTAGACTAAGTTTCATTGTGTCTGTGACTATGTCCATCTTGTCTGTCTGGGCTCCATCCAAGGACACTGCCTAGAGCCAAAGGAATCCTGCTGCTATCATACAGGAATTTCATATTCTTTCAAATTATCATCCATATGATAGAGAGTTCCTTTCTTCTCCTCTGAGTGAATCTTTGGGAAACATCTTTTTCCTCAGTGGTCTAATCCAGTTCTCAAAATATCACTCAGTTTTCTTTCCTCTAAACATTAATTCACTCTTCTTCTCCATCAGGACATCATTGATTTGGATTCTACTAATTCAAATTTTACAAATATTGGACCCAGTGACATTAGAGTAAAAATTTATTAATCCTGTCCCTGTGAATATTCAATATTTTTGCTAACAGGGAAAGAAAACTCCTAGACCAGGATTTATGAAATCCAGGATTTACTTTACACATTTCCCCCTTTTGAATTTAATAGGTCATTTTTAGAAAACAGTCCTTCACATTGAAATGTAAGTCATGTTGAACAGAAGTCTTGTTTTACCATATCTCATTCTACTTATTGAAATATATATATGTATATATATATATATATATATATATATATATATATAATAAAATTAAAGTGCTTTTTGATTTTCAGCTCTGAAAGAACCTAGGCCAAACAAAGGAGGATTTAATATACATTTTTCTTTTTTCATCTTAACTGACAACTGTGTTTCTCTTTGAAGAAGAGAGTCACTGAAGTAAGCCCCTGTGACTGCTAACGAAGGGAGATTTCTTCCGGGATCTTCCATCATGTGTGGCTTTGTGTGTGCCACTAGAAAGGCACAGACTGTTCCCCTTCAGTTGTGAACCTTCTATGGAATAACAAGATAATACCCGTCTCCCCACCTTCAGACTAACATGCAGAGTCGGAAAGAGTGAATACAAGAAAAGAAGGCCCCAGATAGCAAGTCCAGGTTTGTGTTTGAGGAGAGCCTAGAAGAACTTTCTAGGCTGAGGGAAAAGAAGCACAGGGGGACAGCTTGACAGCTTGAGCCATCCAAACTGCATGTCTGTCCCCCAGGGAAACAAAAACAAAATGGCTGCCCGGTGTCTTAACTGATTCTGACTGGAGTGGTGACTGCAAATGCCTGTCCAGGGTCTTCTTCACTGCCAACCACACACACTCAGGATCTTTGTCTTAACCTCATACAAAACAAAGCATGTGAATTAACAATGTAGAATTAAAGAGTGAATGCAGATATTAATCAGCTCTCATTTCCTCCCCCAACCTACTCAGGTACAATACTGTTAGGGGGATAAATGGGTGAAGGCTTTTGAAAGGCAATTGGTATTATAAATCCCCCTTCCTTAAAAGCATCCATATAATTTAAGCTAGTATTTATAATGAAGAAATAGTCCAAATAGAGAAATCTTGGAACAAAGGATTCTCACTGATGGATAGAAAGGTTATTTATAATTGTAATTTCAGAAATAAGAACATACACAGTAGCAGATTGATATTTTGCGCTTACCCCATTCTTTCTGCATTTTATGTTTGTCATTGTAACAATCCTATGAAGCAGATGCCATGACCTTTTTCCTTTGTTCAGATAAAGAAACTGACGCACATAGAGGCACTTGCCCAAGTTACTGCTGTAGTTGAGACTTGAAATCAAACCGTCCAGCTCCAGACCCAACTCTGTACAACACTCTGATACCTTCTGACATTATATAGTTAAGTGTGTTTGTGTTTGTAATGAGGTGGGAAAATATTTATGTTATCCTGTATAGTTAGAAAAAAGAAACATGATCACAAATATATAAAAAGAAAAGAAAGAATGGACTTGTAAGTTTGAAAAAGGAGATTCAAAGGTTTAGATGCCATAATGGTATTAGTAATGATCTTGGGGTGGCAAAACTATTTTTTCCTATTATTTTCAATTTTTTTTTTAAGAGGGTAAGGCAGGAGGATTGTAAGTTCCAGATGCGCCTTAGCAACCTGGTGAGAACCTGTCTCAAAATAAAAATAAGAAACAAATAAATTTTTAAAAAGAGGGTAGGGATGTAGCTCAGTGGTAGAGCACTCCTGGGTTCAATTCCTAGTACCACCAACAAAACAAAAGATAGGAATTATTTCTTCAAGATGGGTTTGCTTCATACCAATCCTTTATAACTTCATGCCTCTCTTATTGTTTATGTCTTTTACGGGTCTAATGATCAGAGACCCTTCCCCTTCCTTGCTTCCTGAAGGGGGGCTTCATTCACATTCTACTTGGATAAAAATGCTTTCAACCTTGCTTCCAGGTCTATAAAGATCAAATGATAAATTTAGCTCCTCCTCCCCTAAAGGAAAAATACRTCTTTTTTGGTTTTACCTGATTATAAAAACAATGTGTTCAGAGCTATTGATCAAACAAAATCAGCCAATACATAAAAGTGTAAGCAAGAAAGTGCCGATCCTCTTTAATCTCACCACCAAGGGGTAGATGTAGTGACTAATCTGCTGGGTTTTTAGAGCTTTTAAAGTCCCACGTGGTAAACTGCATCTGCCATGATTGTCCTCTTCCACCTGCCTCTGGTCAGGCCCCCTCCTTGAGCCCCCCAGGTGCTTGTTCCTATTTCTTCTGAGGCTTTGCCTCTGCTACTCAACCTTTTGCGATTGCTTCTGCCTTTCCCACTACCCATTCAACTCATTGCTAATTTGAAAAACTCAGCAAGTCCCCCATGCTGCATGAAGCTTTCCCCGTGCTGCATGAAGCTTTCGATGTCTTCTCGACATGCGACTATGTACTCTGTGTCACAAGACTGAACCATACAATTATCACCTTCTGATGCTACTGACATCTCCCCACCTAGATGACATGCTGTCAGGGAACTGAGATGTGCCTTGTGCTTTTCTAGAACCTGGTGTCACGCTGGGAAATTTGTACACAGCTTTCTGATACATATAGATGAATAAATAAATGGTTAATTGAGTAGCTTTCTTTTCATTTAGTCAAAGTTCTTACTGAATCCTTTAGAAACTGAATCTAATTTTTGTCGGTTTCTCAGGCTTATTGACAGGTAATATTTTACACAGATATTCTGAAAATGCCTTTAAAGCTATCCTGCAAAGCACCACACCTAATCCCCATGTACCTCTGGAATTTGGGTGACAATTAAGACAGGGATTTTCCTGCAAGAGAGCTCTTTGATCCCAGCACAAAGTTGCTGAGTCAGCCACAACTAACATTATTTACTTCTTGCTCACTAAACTGTCCCCCGTCTGTAATCACTCCCACAAGTTTACACAGGCCACGGTGCCTCAAGTGATGATCCCTTATACATCAGTGTTCCAATTACCAGTTGTCGCTAAAGCACCCAGGTGATAAATGTCCTTCTGCACCATCTTGGTAAAGAATATTTTGATTGATTTACCAAAGTTTCTGATTGAGTCAAGAGTGTGGTAGAGAGGCACAGCATCTGTGGACTCCAAGCAGGAGCCCATGTGAAAACAAACAGTGAAGGTCAGTGGCTGGGTGACAGCAGGTTTCCTGCCTGGTAGTCATCACCCGTGTGCACACCAAGGGGTATTTGTGTGGATTTGCAAATTGCCAACCTACAAGGGTTGCAGATTCATGCTCACCTCTCATCACATTTAATCAGAATCACGCTGTCTGTTCCAATTCCTAAGGCTGCGGCTCCCTTCTTGAGAGAAAAATGACTCTGTAAAAAAAAGTAAATTTGTAATTAGTTTCATACATGGCCAAGATCCATTCCCACTGCTGGTTTTTAAAATCTTTTTCTTGGTGTCCTTTCATTTCTCCAAAATGAGCTGCTAAAAAATGGTGGCATCCTTCACTTGCCCCCTTTTAAAATATGGTGGTGAAATATGCAAAACTTAAATATATATAACTTAAATACCATCTTAGCCATTTTTTTTAAATTTAAATTTGTTTTAATTAGTTCTACATACAGTAGAATGCACCTTGATACATCATATATAATGGCACATAATTCATCTTTGCCACTTTTTAGTTATGCCATTCCAGGGGCCTTAAGTCTTTTTAGATTGTTGTACAACCACTACCACCATCCATCCCCAGAACTCTTTCCATCTTGGAAAACTAAAACTGTACTCACCAAACAACCATTTCTCTTTCTCTCATCCCAAGCCCTGGCCACCATCATTCTATATCCTGTCTGTGTAAATTTGACTACTCTAGATACCTGACATAAGTCAAATCAATCAATATTTGACTTTTTTTGATTGGTTTATTTCACCTAGCATAATGTTGTAAAGGTCCATCAGTGCAGTAGCATGTGCCAGAATGTCCTTTTTTTAAGACTGAATAATATTACACGTGTGTATAAACCATATTTTATTTAAACATTCTTCCATTTCTAGGCAGTTGGGTTACTTCCACATTCTTGCTTTTGTGAATAATGCTGTTAGAAACATGGGCACACAAATATTTCTTTGAGACTCTACTTTCAATTGTTTTGAGTGGATACCCAGAAGTAGAACTGCTGGACCATTCTGTTTTTAATTTTTTGAAGAACTACGATGCTACATTTCACAACTACTACATACACCCTTTTACATTTCTACCAGCAACACACAAAGGCTCCCATATTCCCACATCCTCACCAACATTTGTAATGTCTTTTTGTTTTATTTTATTGAGGCAGGGTCTTGCTGTGTTGCACAGGTTGATCTCAAACTCCTTGGACTCTGCGTCAGACTCCAGAGTAGCCGAACTATAGGAATATGCCACTGTGTCTGCTGATTTTCTATTTTTTGATAATAATTATCCTACGAAATGTGAGGCAGTCACTCATTGTGACTTTGATTTGCATTTTTCTTAATGAGGGAGGTTGAACATCTTTTCATACGCCTATTGGCTGTCTGTACATTTCCTTTGGAGAAATGTCTATTCAAGTCGTCAAATTCTCTGCCCACTTTTTTTTTTTTTTTTTTTTTTTTTAGTACTGGAGATTAAACTCAGGGGTCCTTGATCACTGAGCCACACTTCCAGCCCTATTTTGTATTTTCTTTAGAGACAAGGTCTCACTGAGTTGTTTAGTGCCTCTCTTTTGCTGAGGTTAACTTTGAACTCCCCATCTTCCTGCCTCAGCCTCCGGAGCCATTGCGATTAGAGGCATGTGCCACCATGCCCGGCTGGCTCCTTTGTCCACTTTTCAATGGTATTGTTTGTTGTTGTTGAATCCGCTTTTTATTCATTTATTTATTTATTTTAGGGAAAGATGAAAAGATGCTGGCAATTGTAACTGGATCTGATACCCCAGGACACATAAACGCCAAGCCAATTTTACATAAAAGGCATAACTATATACCAGCTGCCTCTAGGCGCTATTATGTATTGTGTAGCCCTCAGCCTTTTCTGGCTACTAAGAGATCACACTCAGTTTTTCCCCAAGTTCAGTAAAACTTTGTGCACTCGGGTAAGAGGAGAAGTTAGTCCTAATCCAGCACTCTTCATCTCCGAGTTCCCAGAGGGGCTCTTTGTTCAGGCAACTACTCGTCTGGGACAGACTCAGGAAGGTGACATCAGTTACTGGCTGGAGCAGGATAACTTGTTTGTGTGGAGAACAGGCCACACTGACACCCAACCGCCCAATCTTTGCACTTTGGGTTGCTGACTCTGGATTAGGATTTCGTGTCTCAATGGCTGTAATCACTGTGCCATTTGGATAGCTGGAAAGGCTAACCTAAGCCCAGCTGGACTGCATCTGCCCATCAGCCTCTTACCATTAACTACAGATCATTAAGCTGTCCAAAGGAGAGAAGAGAGCTGCTTCCGCAATTTACATCTCCAAAGGGTTGATGACTGGAATTTTAAGTGATGGTCCCGAAGAGTGTACGTTTGTTCTCTTCTTCAAATGCCCACTTTTGACTCATTGGAATTCTTAAATATGCAGCACAAGAGTTCTTAACACACTTATTTTTAGGGGGTATTTCAATAAGCCAGAAGGAATCCCATTTACAACAGCAGCAAATAACATCAACCCGTAAAGGAGACAGTCTGAAGGGAAGAGTTTTAAAAGCCCAGTGTAGCTAGAAATAATGAGAAAGGGCCATTAGACTCATTTTACAACCTCAGAGTGATTGTTACAAAGGTACCTAGGAAATAGGAGAAAGAGAAAAGCTTAATTGGAGCAGAGTTTGTAAAGATGAATGACTCCCCCACCAAAAAAACAATGTTTCTCTTTTGTATTTAGCAGAGGTTGGTTGGCCCCAAAGAAAAGGAGTGCAGAGGAAAATAGAAGGGTCCAGAACAGAGGAGCCAGCTGCCCCCCTGAGCAAACACAAGCTCCTCAAATTATACCCTCTCTAAATGAGCTCTTGAGCACTAAACTGCAAAATGTCACAGTGGGGCTAAGTAAGAGATTTGGCGCACCTGGTCAATGAGAGGACGAATTCCTTTCTGGTCTTTAGTGAGAAAGAATAGGGATTCTTAAAAGAGGAGCAATTAGCCAGCATAATTGATCACTGTACCAAATGCCACCGATTTAGAGAAAAGCACATGCCCAAATAGAGCGCTTAAAGATGGGGAACAAAGGTGAGATGAGGCATGAAAAAGAAAAATTAGGTACCAAACATTGAGTCTGTTTATATTTTCTGGAAAAGGGAGTAGAGAAATAGCTAAATGGTGTCCCATGGAGAGGAGGGAGTTTGACTGGGTTGGGGAGATACTACTTAATGAAGAAGAAGCGATGAAGACAGCTTAAATGGCATGTCTCTCCGTGCTGGTGAGACGACACACAGGGAATCTTTAAATCCTTGGCACCAAGTTTAATGGAACCATTTGCGGATGAACTAGAGGAGAAAAGCATCCAAAAACCAACTACCAAAAGGCCAAGGAGCCTGGGAAACAGGTGTCTAAAGAGAACTGGAAGGATACTTCATCAAGAGCAGAGGGCATTAGGGACATGTGGTATAGGTGACTTTCAAATCTGAAAGGCTGTGCCAGTGTGGGGCTGGGGAATAAATTGCTCTGAGTTGCATCTGAACAAAACTGGGAAGATGCACGAATCCAAATTTGTCCATAACTAATAAACAATCAAGACTCTTAGGGCTGGGGATGTGGCTCAAGCGGTAGCGCGCTCGCCTAGTGTGCGTGCGGCCCGGGTTCGATCCTCAGCACCACATAAAAAAACGAAGATGTTGTGTCCGCCGAGAACTAAGAAAAATAAATAAATGTTAAAAATTCTCTCTCTCTCTCTCTGTTCCTCTCTCTCTCTCTCTTTAAAAAAAAAAAAAAAAAAAAAAGACTCTTATAGCTGGATGCAGTGGTGCACACCTATAATCCCAGCATCTCTGGAGGCTGAGGCAGGAGGATCAGAAGTTTGAGGACAGTCTCAGTAATTTAACAAGCCCCTGTCTCTAAATAAATAAATAAATAAATAGGGCTGGGGATATAGCTCAGTGGTAAAGTACCCTGGGTTCCATCTTTAGTACCAGTGTGTGTTGGGGGCGGGGGGGAGGGAGAATGAAAGAAAACAAGAGTGCATTGGGCTGGAGGAGGGGCCCAGCTCAACCATTCCATTCAGCCCTATGACCAGTAGGTGCAACATGAGCTCCTTTACTCTCAATGGGGACATCCTTTGGGAATAATGGGAGAGTAAGCTGAATGATAGAAAGCTCTGAGACAAACCAGCTCAGAATCTTTGCATGTCAGTTTCTCTTCCTCCATTAGTGTTCAGATGAGAAGATGAAAAGCTTCATTAGTGCTTTCAAGCCATTATTAGTCATCCAAGTATTTAACTGAGACTCAGGTTTCCCTGCCTAGCAGATCACAAGGCTTCAGGTACAGCTTCTGCTAGGCTGGGCGTACATGAAGACAATTAAGACAATATTCAGTATCCACCTAACCCCCTTTTTAAGCACCTCCTCTCCATTTGCTCTCTCTACCTGGTGGTTCTGGCCATCCTGGTCTTCTATGAGCTTGTATCACTTGTTTTCGCCTTTGTACTTGCTATTCAATTTTCTGGAAAACTCTCTCTTGGTACTCACCCAAGAAGACTTAAGATGGGATCCTTCCTAAGCAGCAGGCAGCTATGGATCTTTCTACCTAGACCAGCTGTGTGGGGTGAAGTAAGAGTCATCCCAGAGACTTCAAATAATGTTCAAGAAAGGACCCACTAGTCTGGGAATCAGCTCTTAACTCTTATAGTATTCCATCAAGTGTTCTACCTTCGCTCTATCCATTGTCCTTGGACTTGATCCTTTTGTACAGTACTCCTCCCCTGGAGTGTGGAGGAACAATGAGCAGAGGTGAGTGAGATCATTACACATTGGAGATCCCCAACAGTAGATCTCGAAGCTCAAACTATGAATGAGCTGATCTGCTTCTCTGACCCTTCCCCAAGCCTTGGATTGCCTTACCAGCTCAGTGACTGCAGTACCAAGAGTATTCCCCTCGGCCTCCTCCCTATTCACGCCCCTCCCACATACCCATTGGTTTGCCTCCTAGACCTCCTAAGATTGGAGGGAAGTGGAATCTTCATCTCTTACTCCTGATCATCAACTGGCCTAAAAGAGATTCTGATTTCCAAGACATCTGATGAACAAAGAAGCCTGGACTCCTTGAGACCACCTTATTGATTTCTAATTATCATTATTGTAGAGGAGGAGGTCACTCAGCTATGTTTGGAAAGTCTATGTGACTCCGAAGGCATTTCTGTGAAGCTGCTCCCTTATT